TGGGGAGATGGCTCAGTAGAATAACCGCTTGCCTGGCAAGCACAAGGGCCTGAGTTCAATCCCCAGTTCCACAAAAAAAAAAAAAAAGAATTCTGGGGAGGGAGGGAGGGGGCTAACATAGCTCAGCGATCTAAAGCGCCTGTTTAACAGGCAAGCTTAGGCAGGCGCAGGGGACCACGGTTCAATCCCTGGCACGACATGCTGCACCAGCCCCCACCCTAAGGGCAAGTGGAACCAGAGGGGGGGAACATCCCAAAGGGATCTGCTAATGTCAAGCAGCATGGCTGCGGCGCTGTCTTTGTGTCTCCCTGGGCAGGCAGCACCCGGCTGTGCATGTTAGGGACCAAAGGACACCGAGTAGCTAACAGAGGGCTGGGGGATGCGTCATCACAGAAGTGCACACTGGGAACAGCAGGGTCACTGCAGGCACCTCACAGCTGGGGTTCAAGCCCTGAGGATGACTGAGCCCTGACCCCACACCCTAGCCTTATTCCTACTCCTCAGAAGCCACCTCCCACCCCACGTGACACACCAAGCAAGCTCTGGAGCACCAGCCACAGGCCCCAGCCTCCTTCACCCCCCCTAGCACCTCGCAAACCTCTTCCTCCAGAGACCCCGAAGGAGCTCAGCATCCAATAAGAGATGAACCCAGAGTCAGGGGCTGAAGTTAGAGGTCATGAACCCCCCACTGGGCATGTTCAGAGTCAGAAGTGTGTCACTTACAGCCGTTTGATGCTGGACTCTGGCTGTGGGGACAGTCTTGGGTATGTAACAGGTGTAGGCTGGGGTATTCGGGCCTCCTCTTCTATGTCTTCACTGGAAAGAGTTGAGAAGCATCAGATAAACGAGTAAAAAAAAAAAAAAATTCTGTGAGAACTGGAACATTCCAGAAGGGTGCTGAGAGTAGGTGAGATGAAGGGGCCCAGAAAGGTGGTAACAGTGGCCTCTGCCCCACTATCTGCCTGAGGGGTTAGCCTTCAACTCACTACGTAGCCTAGGCTGGCCTCAAACTCGAGGTGATCTTCCTGCCTCAGCCTCCTGAGTGTTAGGATTACACCTGTGTACCACCATGCCAGGTTCTCAAATCTATTCCAGCCAGATAGAATTACTCTGAGAGGTTGATCTTTACTAGGGATCAAACTCAGGACCTTGTGCTTGCCAGGCAGGCACTTAAGTCACTGAGCTATCTCTCTGGCCCTGAGAGGTTAATCTTAATTAAGTAACCTTGACTGTCAACTGGCTCGAGAGCCTAGGAGATCAGGAAGACAAGCTTCCGGGTGTGTGTGGGTAGTCGTGGCCTCGGGGCTTCATCTGGCCCCCTCCTGTCTGGCACTGCTCCCTGCTCAGCTTCCTGGACACCATTTAGTGAGCAGCTTTGCTCTGCCTCCCCTTCTGCAGCACTACGCATGCCTCAGAGCCTGCAGCCTCTGGAGTAGTGAGCCAGGATAAGCCGCTCCTCTTGTCTTCTTAAGACAGGGTCACAGGCTGGGGAGGTAGCTCAAGGGCATAAGTGCCTGCCTGGCAAGCTCAAGGTCCTGAGTTCAATCCCCGGTACCACCAAAAAAACCCAAAAAACAAAAACAAAAACCAGGGTCTCACTATGCAGTTCAGGCTGACCTTGAGCTCACTCTGTATGTAGTTCAGGCTGGTCTCAGCTCAAGCAATCCTCCTGCCTCAGCTTCCCCAGTGCTGCGAAGACAGGTGTGAGCCACCACGCTGGCCAAGCTGCTCCTTCAACACTCCCCACTTCCGGTCCTTGCACAGTGTGTCTCCCACCTTTGGGCTTCTTCCTCCTGCAGCAAGCTGCCCAGCCCTCCTGTCTCCATCCCCGACTGTGCTACCCTGGCCTGTAAAGGGCCCCAATCCAGAGCCACCTCCCATGAGCCTTCTGTTTCAGCCGTCTTGTTCTTTTCTCTGCAGGAGCAGGGCTCACCTGTGGGGCACCTGTCCCTCCTCCTGGTGCTCCCTTCAACAGAGAGCTGTTGCACCTCCTGTGTGCTGAGGGGAACTGAGCCAAGTGCACTACAAGTTCAAGGCCAGTGGCCACCATCCCAGTAAATAAAATAAAATGCTGTAGTCCGTGTTTCAGAAAGGGAGGGTCAGCTTGTGGGTGTGACTTCAGATACCCAGGCAGGACACAGAGAAAAGGCTTGCCCCGCCCCGGGCTGTCCAGTCTCAAGGGCCGCACACCTCTTATAGTAGGCCAGCTCCTCCTGCAGCAGGAACACCTTGGCCTTGAGCTCGTTCCTCTCATGCAGCACATCGCGCAGCTCCTGAAGCGTGAACCGGGGGCGGCTGGGGTCCTTGGGGTCCACAGCAGCTTTCTCCGTGTCATCAGACATGCGGTCCTCTGCGCCCGGCTCTGCCTGCAGGAGGCAGAGATGCTGCAGACGAATGGCTGGCGCCCACCCGCCCGCCCACCCGAGGCACCCGCCCGCCCGCGGCACCCGCCTCCCAGAGAGCAGCTTGCCCAGGGCACTATTTTCAGCACTGGGGGCGGCCCTAGCTGGAGCGCTGCAGTTTCTCCCGGAGATGGGAGGTGGTGACCACCTGTTCATTGTCCCTTTCAGCAGCCAGCCTTGCATCCACATGCCTCCCCCGGCACCCAGGCTTCTGTTACAGACCTGCTCCCAGGCATCCAGACAGGAAAAACGCTGTGCCTCCAAGGCCATTGCACGAGCCAACCGGCCTGTCTCCTTTCGGGGTTGTGCTCCCCTAGGCTCCCCAGGCCCAGCGCTAACGCTACCAGGGTGACTGGAATCATGGCCTATGCTCCTCTGGTTCCTCCCCATCACTCCAAGAAACTGTGCCTGCGTGCAGCCACGTCAGGCCCCGAGGCCAGGCCTCTCCTCCTCAGAGGCTCTTGGCTCCTCGCCTTGGACTCTGGGTGAAGCCCTGGCAGGGGGGCACACTTTGAAATTTTTTATCAAAGCAGCCAAGCATGGTGACACAGCCTCTGGAGGCTGAGGCAGAAAGATTTCCACAAGTTGGAAGTCTGCCTGGACTACACAGTGAGACCTTATCTCAAAAAAAAAAAAAAAAAAAAAAAAATTCATTGGTGCAAATGTCACAGATGGATGCCCACTGCACCTGAGGTGCAAAATTTCCAGAATGGGAAGCCTGGCTTAAGTTTAGGGTCACAGAATACTGCCTGCTGTCATGCCCTGTAATGTGCGCAGCTCAGTGGCATGGAGTAGGTTTGTAAGGATGTGTGGCTCCCCCATCTAATCCAGAACATTCCCATCAGCCCGAGAGGACACACCATGCTCACCAAGCAGTTGGTCACCTGCCATCCCCCTGGGTCCTGACCACCACCTGCTCTCTACCTCTGTCGTTTTGCTTCTCTGGCCATTTCCCAACCACAGCACCATGCAGTTGTGGCCTTCTGTGTCCCACCTGTCACCTGGCATCAGGTGTCCCAGGTCATCCATGTTGCAGCAAAACCTCCCTCTTTTATTTTTTGGACAGACTTCTGCAGTGTAGCTCAGTTGCCCTCAGAATAAAAAATCCTCCTGCCTCAGCTTCCAGAGTGGGGGTGACGGTGGTAGGTGATGGCGGTGGGTGACTGCCACGCCTAGCACAACTTTCCATTCCCATGGCTGGGGAGTAGCTGCTGCCGGGGAGTCCGCACAGCTGTGCAGTGTCGAGGGGGTGTGGCCACCTTTTGGTACCATTAAGAGCGATGCCAAGCACCTTCCTTTGTGTATGTCCCCTAGGACACAAGTGTCCCTTTCTGTAGGATGTACAACTAAGCCGAGTGGCTGGGTCTCACAAGCACAGTAACTCTGGGATTTTTTAGTTTTGTGCTTCAGTTTCTCTGAGGCAGGGCCTCATCATATATAGTTCAGGCTGGTTATGACCTCACGATTGCCTCAGGCTGACCTCAAACTCAGTGATCCTCCTGCCTCAGCCTCTAGTGCTGAGACTGCAGGTGTGGCCACCATGGTGGGCTGTGACTGAGTTAACTTCCTTTTTTTTTTTTTTTTTTTCTGTAGTGGCTGCAGGATTTTACATGTATACTAGCAATGGCCCAGGGTCCCAGTTCCTCGAATTCTGTTGTCCCCAGGTCATCTTGCATGCTAAGCACAAGCGCTACTCCTGAGCTACACCCCAGCCCATTTCCTCCTGTGTCTGCACGTGGTACTAGGGGTTGGACCCAGAGCTCTTGAACTGAGCTATACCTCCAGCTCTTTTTAAATTTAAACTTTTGGGGCCAGGGAGATGGCTCAGTAGGATAAGCGCTTGACTGGCAAATGCAAGGATCTGAGTTCAATCCCCAGTTCCGAAAAAAAAAAAAAAAAGTTAAACTTTCTTATTAAAATAAATAAAAGATAAAAAAAAAAGTTTAAACTTTCAAAAGCCTGAGATAGGATCCTACAAAATAGCTAATTAGGGGCTGGAGAGATGGCTCAGTGGTCTAAAGCACCTACTTAGAACAAGCTTGGCAAGGCATCAGGGACCGCGGTTCAATCCCCCAGCACCACATGCCAGCCGGCCCCGCCCCCTGGTGGGCTGAGCTGGCCACACACACACCACACACTCTCTCTCTCTCTCTCTCTCTCTCTCTCTCTCTCTCTCTCTCTCTCTCAAATAATAAATAAAAATAATAATAATAATAAAAAAATAAAAAAAAACAAAATAGCTAATTAATGAATAGGGGGATTTGTTCTAATGGTGTTTGTAAATAGGATATCAAGTCTGCATCTTGTACAGCAATTAACCACTAGGAAGAATGTATGCAGTGTGTTAATTATTGAATCTGTCCTACCAATTTGGTTTGAAACTGTCTCATTGCTATTTGTTTCTCAATAAAATTATGGCAAAAGAAAAAGAAAATTAAACAAACAAACAAAAAACAAAGTAGCTAAATTGCCCAGGCTGGGCTTGAACTTGCAATCCCCCTGCCTCAGCCTCCCGGACAGCAAGGACTCCGGGTGTGCAGCGCCACCACATCCAGCCCAGTTCCTGCTCTCCTTGATAGCAACGGATCTGCAAACTGCCCCTAAGTAACCCTGCTAAATCTGCAGGGGCCATGGAGCCAAAGTAGTACAGTGTCATGTGTGTCGCTGTGGCCCTGTCCCATGGCCGCCTAGAAAGAACAGACAGAAGCTGGGGCAGTGGCAGGAAAGCTGTGGAACGGGGGAGCGGATAAAAACAGACACGCTGCCTAGGCCCCACAGCCCACAGTGGCACGGGGACAAGGGACGCCAGCCGGACGCTGGCACAAGGCCAAGACACCCAGGGCTCCAGAAGGCAGAGCCAAAATGCTTCTCCTCATGTCTGGGACAGGCCGTTCTGGGAAGGGACACTTGAAAGCAGACACCACCCACAGGCAAGTCAGGTGACAGAACTGCAGCCTGCTGCTGAGGAGCCACTGGGAGAGTTCACTGCCCAAGGAGCCCTGGAGCCAAGATGACATCAGGATGACAGTCTCTGTCCTCAGTCCCCACCCCACACCTCCCAGTGGCTGCTCCTCACCGCACCTCAGCCCTGACTCAGCCCTGTCCTGCACCTCAGCAGTTACTGGTACACAGCAGGTGCCAAGAATGTGGGTTCCGGGCACTTCCCCTGCCTGTGGGACGTCTATTATGCACGCCCCCCCCATGCATTTGGAGCACTGACTCCGCGGCTTTCTTGTGGCTGAGATCGGTGCTGGGAAGAGATTTGGACAGCGACAGTGAGGACAGGATGCACCTGAAGAGAATCTTATACAATAGAGGCCTGCAAGGATGTCACACTCTCAGGCCTGTATGCATGGGGTCCTGATGCTGTGTAGGAGTTTACCAAAAACTGAGTACCAGACACAGAATGGGGGCCCTTGGGTCACACCTGTGTCTCTCTCATTTGGTTTGGTCCCCACTCTGTTCTAAAATCTACTGGTCAGTCAGGGTGGTCCATACCTGTAATCCCAACATTCTGGGAGGCTGAGGCAGGAGGACTGTTGAAAGTTCGAAGCTTGAACTACATAGCAAGACCCTGTCTCAAAACCCAAAACAAGGGCTGAGGATGTACAAAGTATGAAGGTTTTCGATTTAATCCCCAGTGAAAATCAAACCCAATCTAGGGGGGTCGGGGAGATGGCTCAGTGGAATAAGTGCTTCCTCGGCAAGCACAAGGGCCTGAGTTCAATCCCTGGTTCCGCAAAAAAAAAGAAAAAAGAAAGAAACCCAATCTAGGGCTGGTGAGATAGCTCAGCAGATTAAAGTCCCTGCTTAGGCGAACTGAATTCCTGGCACCACATGCTGTGCCAGCCCCAACCCCAGGGCTGGCTGAGCTAGCCAGAGTCCAGGCATGGTGGTGCATGTCTGTAATCCCAGTGCTGGGAAGGCTGAAAGCTGGAGGATCACCCGAGACCAAGCTTTGTACTGAGACCCTGCAACAACCAAATACATTAAAAAAAAAAAAAAAAAAAAATCTAATTTACTGAGCTGCTATGTGTTTAAGATCAGGCAACTTCATACCAAAGTCTGAGTCTGGGGCTCCACTTTGTTTTTGTTTTTTGGTACTAGAACTTGAACTCAAGACCTCCAACTTGCCAGGCAGGACTACACCACTAAGTTAGATCCCCAGTCCCTAGGGACTCATTTTGGAAAAAAATTTTTTTTTGGCGGTACCAGAGATCGAACTCAGGACCTAGCGCTTGCCCTTTCCCTCCTTGCCTGGCCCCTGCTGTGGCCCTAACCTCAGGTCACACTCTGCCTCCATATGGCTAGTGAATGGCACTGTTCCTGCCATTCCTGGGGACCTGGCTTTGTGGCCCTGAAGGGGCCATCTGCCAGGGTTAGGGGTCTACTTGCAGTAGGGACAGACAGACCCTATGAGATGTCTCCTGGGCTTTCACATCCCCTCTGGGGCTCAGTGACACCATGCTGTTTCCAAGCACCACCCCCTACACACACACACACACACACACACACACACACACACACACACACAATCAGGGCTCTTGACACAATCAGGGCTGCTGTGGCTCCACCCCTCACTGGACTATCCGTGTCAAGGCCACAAAAGGGCTTCCTTGGCCCTGAGCTCTTCTTTTTTTTTTGGCAGAACCAGGGATTGAACCCAGGCCCTTGCGCTTGCCAGGGAAGCTCTTATTCCACTGAGCCATCTCCCCAGGCCCGAGCTCTTTTCTTGATGAAGGGATAGCTCTTTTCTGGGCCTGACCCCCTTGGGCAGGCCCATCAGTTGTGTGGCTTTCTGCCTTTGGGCCAACTGCCCATGAATGCCAAACACCACAGCGGCCGGAGTCCAGGGCGGCGCCAGGTGATCGAAGCCTTCTAGGCTTAGTCCATGAGGGATGCCAGGTGGCTTGGGTGATCGCCTGCTCCCTGGTCCCCGGGGGCTCCCTGGGACAGCTGGAGGGAGAGTCTACAGCCTGGCTATTTGAAGGGGAGGCCCACGAGACCCAGTAGTAGAAAGGCTGCTCCCACTGCCGTGCTCACCAGGGCACCGGCGGTCAGCCTCTGGCATGGCTCCTGCCACTGCAGAGAGGCCAACTGGGCTGGGCCACACTCGGGGACTTCTGGGGTCAACGGGCACAAGCTCAGGATGCACCTTACCCCTGACTCCCACGCCAGCCACCAGGCTCTCACTTAAACAACACAATGACAGCCACGCATGGTGGTGCCAGGAGGCTGAGGCAAGAGGATCGCCAGCTCAAGGATAGCCTGGGAAACTCAGCAAGACTCTTGTCTCAATGTAAGAAACTGTCCCCTAGTTTCCTTAGGGGCCTGCCAATTTCTTCCCACTGGGGCCGCTGAACTGGTTGAGTACCGAGGGACACACTGATGACAGCCTGCTAGAGGACACCCTCAGGTGGAACATCGGGCAGCTCCACGGGGGGTGCCTGTCTGCCTCCTGGCTCCCAGCACCACAAACTCAGAGCCAAGGAGACAGGTCCAGTGGGGGTGGGGCTGGGATGTGCCATGGTGGGCTCCCACATCAGACCCCACAGTGCCCAACCAGGGCCTCAGATGAAAGCAGGGACTCCTCTCCCGTCTGCTCTCCAGAGGCCTCTGGCCTGATCTAGACCCTCCATTTCCACTCTGCACACCAGTCACGCACGTCCCTCACACTTCCTAGACCCCACTGCAGTTCCTCCTGCCACGGGGCCTCTGCACGCCCACCCGGCTGCCCAGGACTCAGGCCCTAGTTCGCTTTCTCCCTCAAGTACCTCCTGAAGCTATTCTGATCCCTGGACTGTGAGGGTGGTATAGCAACAGTGAACAGTGACTCCACAGGAACCAGCCATCTAACTGTTGTCACGGTTTGGGGGAAAACACTCCTACTATTCCGCATTTGTTGTTGTTTGGCTATAGGGGACTGAAGCCAGGGCCTTCGCACTGAGCTACATTTAGCTCCGGGGCTTATTTTAAGACAGAGTCTTGCTAACTCATTGAATTCTCCACACTGGGCTCAAATTCATACATTTTTCTGCCTCAGCCTCTTGAGTGCTGTTTACAGGCCTGGCCCTTATTTCCATTACAAAGGGAAAAACCTGAGGCACAGACAGGCTAGTGACATATCCAAGGCCAAGGAGAGAAGCAGCAGCACAGCCTAGACTTAAACCCGGGCCACCTGGCTCCCAAGTTCAGGCTGCTGGTGACAGGCTCTTCATAGATCCAGAGGTCTTTCACATACCGTGACATGTGTACAGAGTTTAGGGTTTCCGGGACACAAGCTGTGTGCTAGCACCACTCTCAGTCCAGAACGTTTCTATCACCCCAAAAGCAGCGATGCACCCACTGGCAGCAGGGACCCCATGTGCCTACTCCCTGCAGCTCCCATGGCTGTCTTTGTATTGATGCAGAGGCGCAGTAGGTGACCCGTGTGTGTGTGTGTGTGTGTGTGTGTGTGTGTGTGGTATGTGCATGTGTGTGCACAGTACTGGGGTTGAACCCATGTTGTCTGCTATGTGCTACACCCACAGCCATTTTTTGTGTCAGGATCTTGCTAAGTCACAAAGTTGCCCAGGCTGGCCTTGAACTCAGAGCAGTCCTCCCGACTCAGCCTCCAGAGTGCCAGGATCGCAGTAAGCGCCAGCACACTGGGCTCCCACCCACCATGCCTCGGGCTCTTCCTCCACACACTGCCTGCTGTGTGCGCTGTCCCAGCACCTCTGGGTCCTGTGTGACCCTGACCCTGCCTCCACGCCCAGCTGAGGGCCGTGTGCACTCAGGGCAGCTCTGGGCTTTGTTCTCACTGTCACTGAGCTGCTGCACGGCTGGTGCTCACTTGAACAAGTGGACGGGTGGATGAATGGACGGATGAATGGTGCTCAGGTGCCTGGGAACCACCGCTGGGCTGCCCGCCTCCTTCCAGAAGCTGGGGTCCTGGGCTCCAGGCCTGGCCCTCCTGCCCAGCCATCTGTCCTCAGCCAGCGGCTTGCTCCGGTCAGCCCTCCCATCCTCCTACGCATGATGGGAAAGGAATCAAGGTGGCACTCCCTCCCACGGCTGCTCACCTCGGGCTCGTCCTGCCCATTGTGGCTGAGCTCGCCCTGCAGCCTCTCCCGAAGCTTGCCGAGTTCTGCCCGCAGGGTGCCCATCTCCTGCTCTTTGGTCTGCAGATCTGCCTCCAGCTCCACCTTCTGCTCAATCAGGGCCTTTCCCTGGGCCTCCACCACAGTGACTCGGTGCCGGAGGTCGTGGTTGATCTTCATGAGCCGGGTCTGCTGCTGCTGCAGCTGCGGAGACACAGAAGCCGCTGCACAGGGCCGCCACGCAGAGAGGCTCAGGCGGTGCGCTACACAAAAGCGCACCTCTTCCAGGGTGCCATGCATGCTGTGACATTTTTATTTGTGGTTTGTTTCTGTCCTATGACTTGGCTGACACACAAGATAGGCCATTCGGGCAAACGTCATGGTAATGCCATGGCAAGGGAAAGCTCAGCACCTCATCAGAATTAATACATTGAGACAGGGCGGGGTGGCACGCGCCTGTAATCCCAGCTCTCAGGAGGCTGTAAACAGGCAGATTACTACAAGTCCAATCTAGTAGTGAGACCCTGAACACCTTGTAGACCCTTCCCTAAAATACATAAAAAAGAAAGAAAAGAATACCTTATGACAGGGCAACTTGATGGCAGGGGCACTGCTTGTGTCTGGGGCAGTCTTGGGGACTTGGCTGAGGCCCCCATGACGCTATGGAACCAGGGGCTGGACATCAGGCCACCAGCCCAAGGAGCAGCAGGGAGGACCCGGGCTGGGAGGGGCAGGCATGAGACACTTACAGCCTCCACGTCCTCGCTCTTCAGGCCGAGCTCACGGTCCTTGGCACGGATCTCATCGCGCTGCTTGTCCACCACCTCCTTTAGCCTCTTCATCACCTGCCGCTCCCGCTCCGACATGCCTGGGGGCGGGGCCGCAGTGAGCCACGCCCACCTCAGTTCTGGTCAGGGCCTAGGTGAGCCACACCTTCCTTGGCTCCTGCCCCCCCTTTGTCCCCTGCTGTTCCCTCCCTCAGCGGCTCACTCATTGTCCCTTCTGCCCCTCACAGTGTCCCTGCCACCCCATTAGCATCTCCTCATCCTTGTCACCTTCCTGTACTTTTCACAGCAATCAGGAATCTCAAGCATCCCATCCTTAGTGGGTGGTGACACAGCCTGGCCTGGGCAGTCTCCTCTGGCAGGTGGCCTTGGGCTGCGTCCGGCCTCTGCGGCTGCCTGTGCCTGCCCAGGGCACTGGGGGCTGCAGGACAATCACAGCACCCCACCTGCCCCCAGAGGGGCGGAGGCTGCTGCCCAAGGCCTGCTTGTTCCCCCTCGGCCAACAGCATGCTAGGTGAGGCCCAGAGATCCTGTCACCTCCTTGAGCCTCACCCAGCAGTACATATAGCAGGAACCTGTTAGGGAAGCCAGTAAGAGACTGAACAGGGCTCAGATGGCCATGTGATCTTCCTGTGCCCACTGCACAGTCAGCCAATCCGGTAGCTTCATGCCAGGTGGAGCGTCACACACCTGTGATCCTAGTACCTGGGAGGCTAAGGCAGGAGATCACTGTGAGCTTCATGCCAGGTGGAGCGGCACACACCTGTGATCCTAGCACCTGGGAGGCTAAGGCAGGAGATCACTGTGAGCTTCATGCCAGGTGGAGCGTCACACACCTGTGATCCTAGCACCTGGGAGGCTAAGGCAGGAGATCACTGTGAGCTTAAGGCTAGCCTGGACTACACGGCGAAACCTGCTCAAAACGAACCTAGAAAAAAAAAAAATTTTGGGCTGGGAAGATAGCTCGGCGGAATAAGTGCTTGCCTGGCAAGCACAAGGTCCTGAGTTCAATCCCTGGTACCACAAAAAATAAAACAAAATAAAATAAAATTATAGCTCAGTCAGAAACTTAGCTTTCTCATCATTCCAGAAGCCAGAAGTTTGGCCGGGGATCTAGCTCAGTGGCACAGGTGTCTGCTATTATGCACAAATCCTGAGTTCTGTTCCCAGTACCAAAACAAAGACAGAAGACAGAAGTTCAAAGCCAAAGTCACCAGAGTGCACTCAGTGACAACTGTGCCTCTCTCTTCTACAGTCCCATCACTGGTCACAGGAGCTTTTCCTACTCTGTGTCACTCTCTGCCTCCATTATCACAAGCACATGTGACCCAGGGCAGAGTCCCTCTTGCACCATCACCTCTGCAGAGGTGACACTCAGGTGACGCCTTAGACTTCAAAGATGGGGACCCAGAGGGGCAGGCTGTTCAGCTCAGCCTAGCCAAAGGGATAACCATGGGGACCAGGACATGCATCTGTCTCAGCTTCCAGGACACTGAGGACATGCGGCCCCACTACCAGGCAGAAAACCTGGGGTGATACCCTCCCTGAGCCCACCCGGATCTTTCCCCAACTTATGGACATCCCTGGCCACTGCCAGGAGCCAGCATGGCTGCAGAAAGGTATGCAACAGTGCGCAATGTGACCCGGGCCACCGAGCTCTGCCCCGCAGTGCTTGGGATGCCACAGGGACAGTTCTGGAGCACAGCTGGGCCTGGCTCAGTCAACCCTGCCTTCCAGGGCTGGAAGAGGGGACAAGGATTGGCTCTTCCCCTATAGTCCCCAAGGAGGGTCCCCAGATAGGCCTGGTTGTCTTCTCCTGCCAGCCCTAGAAGCGGATGTTACTGTCTCTGCCTCTGCTTTTATTTATTTAGGGTGTTTTGTTTTGTTTTGAGACAGCACCTTGCTATGTGGTTCAGGCTGGTCTTGAACTTACTAGGTCGCCCAGGCTTGCATGGAATTTGAGGAATCCTCCTGCCTCAGTCTACTGAGTATTGGGATTATAGCTGTGCACCACCATTCTAGGCCTTTCCCCTACCTGCTATATTGCTTCAATACCAGTCCTATTTTATAGATACAGAAAACTGAGGTCCAGAGACAGACTGTTCGAAGTCCCAGTGCAGGGACTCAAATCCAGGTCTTCCTGGCTATGACACCAGGCCAGGTCCCCACCAGGGAAGAGGTGCAGGTGGCCACCATGTGCACCCCTGTGGTTTGCAAGGGAGGTTCCCTCTGGAGGTCCACAAAGTGGTCTGTTGAAGTCCCCTCCATGCCCCGCCTTGCTGACACCACCGTGCTCAGTGAGCGCACGGCAGGCAGGCGTGGCGGTACACACCTATCATCCCAGCATGGGAGAGGCTGAGGCAGGAGAGTTACAGGTTCGGGCCCAGCCTAGGCAACTTAGGGAGAAACTATCTCAGAAAGAAAGCAAGAGGGGCCGGGGAGCTAGCTCAGTGGAATAAGCACTTGCCTGGCAAGCTCAAGGACCTGAGTTCAATCCCCGGTTCTGCAAAAATAATAATAATAATAATAATAATAATAATGATAATAAAGTTTAGAAAGAAAGCAAGAAAGGAAGGCAGAGCTGGGGGTGGAGCTAAGAGCCAGGGCCCCCCGTTTAGTCCTCTATACCAATAATAATAATAATGATACAGATCAAGGTAATGGTGGCACTGGACAGCAGATGGGGGACAACGACCCTTCCTCCAGTACCCACCTGTCCCTGCTGTTGAGCTGAGTGCTTGTGGCAGGCCGTACAGTGTGCAGATTCTCTGGGCCTCACTCCTAAGCAGGTACCCCTGGTTACCCGGCTGGGGCTCTGCCTGAGAAAGCCCAGCCCCCTCTATGTGCACTGGCTCATGCCCACAATGCCAGCAACTCAGGCAGCTGAGGCAGAAGGATCAAAAGCGCCAGGCCAGCCTGGGCAACTTAGTGAGATCCTGACTCAAAATAAAGAGGGGGCTGGCGAGATAGCTCAGTGGTCTAAGCACCTGCCTGGGCAAGATCAAGGAGCTGGGTTTGCTCCCTTGTATTGACTGCTGTGCTGGCCCCGCCCTGGGCGTGCTAAGCTGGCCACAAAGACCAAGCGTGGTGGGGCACGCCTGTAATCCCAGCGCTAGGAAGACTGAAACAGGAGGCTCATTAGAGTCTGAGCTGCATGGTGAGACCCTGTACCGAATACAGGAAAACTGAAAAAATAGGGCTGGCCAGATAGCTCCGTGGACTAAGGCACCTGCTTAGGCAGAGCGCCGCAGCTGGGGTTTGATCCCGGGAGTGCTGTGCCAGCTCCACCCCTGGGGCGCGCTGAGACGGGATTGAGACCGGGCATGGTGGCACACGCCTGTAATCCCAGCACTTGGGAGGCTGAAAACAGGAAAATCACTACGAGTCTGATCTACACAGTAAGACCCTGTAGATTCTGTAGACCTGTCCTAAATACATATAAAATAAAATAAAATAAAATGAGGGCTGGAGACAGAGCTCAAAGCTCCTGTGGTTCCACCCCCAATACTGTTCTCTATCTCCCCAAACAGGAACTCCCCACAGCTACAATGTGAATGACTAAACTGAGCTGGGCATGGCGGTACATACCTGCAATCCCAGCACTCTGAGAGGCTGAAGCAGGATCCTAGGTGCAAACCCAGCCTGGGCCACTCATCCCCTTGTCTCACCAGGGAGAAAGCTCAGCAGCAGAGTATCTGCCTGGCAAGTGCAAGGTCCTGAGTTCAATTTCTGGCACCAAAATCAATCAATCAATCAATCAATCAATCAATCAAGGGTCTGGGGAGATGGCTCAGTAGAATAAGTGCTTGCCTGGCAAGCGCAAGGGCCTGAGTTCAATCCCTGGTTCCACCAAAAAAAAAAAAAAAAAAAAAAAAAATCAATAAAAGAACTTGACTCAAAATAAAAACTAAAAAAGGCTCAGGCTGTGGTATGGTATAAAAGCACTGGGTTCAATCCTCAGTACAAAAAAAAAAAAAAGTATTTATGTTGTGTGTATTCTCACTACATTTACACCCACGCACTCCCTACCCGGTTGCAACACTTAACATTAAAAAAGAAAGAAATGCAATAGTAGCTGCTGACATGTCTGATTGATTACAGCTGGAAAAGCAGTGCTTTGCATCTGCAGGGTTATAGAGGCGCACAGACTCCAGCCCTCCGCCCCACCTACTGCTTGTCACTTCTCCCAAACCATGGCCTGTGTCTCCTTTGAATGTGCCTGCTCGGCTGCCTCCTCTGAGCTGGCCTAAATTGCTTCCCTGGGGCATGAGGACTTTCCCAACCTGTCTCCCTACCCTGCCCAGGCCAGTGCAAGGCCACCTGTAGTTTGCTTCCCCACAGGCTAACCCATGATTTCCCTTTGTCACCTGCCAGCTGGCAAGATGGGCTCCAAATCCAGGGGCCAGGGAAGTACTTTTGAAACTGGAAACTTGGCTTGGGCACCAGTATAATCCCAGGTTTGGGAGGCTGAGGCAGGAGGATTGCAGGTTTGACTGTAGCCTGGACAACTTAGCCAGGTCCTAATACAACATAATTTTATTTATTTTTTTTTAATTTTAGGGAAGGGTCTACAGGGTGTTCAGGGTCTCACTACTAGATCGGACTCATAGTGATC